GCAAAAAGTGTATGCCCTAGATCAGAACCTCTCCGAGTAATTACTGCTAATACGAACACAATCGTCCGCCCGAACTTGAAACTTTGAATAGTTCACGAGCCTGAATTAGTGGCGTGTGGGCATGCTTTGCTGGTGAATGAAGCAGCGGTGTCACATGTTTGATCTGAGCACTGAGTTCACGAGGAATGACTGCAGGACCGTCAGCTACAAATAAAGCACATAAGAGTTACAGAAAACACATACCTATGATCTGATGTTAGTCCTGAAACAATACCCAGTACTCCTCCTGAGAAACTCATCGAAGGCTGCGGTTGTCCCTCTGTGTTGTGAAGGTCAATGGTTGCTGGGCAAGGTGAAGATGAATTTGCATGGACGTTCGACAGAAACCTTAAAGTAAGTAACACTTCCGGAACACTTGTTCAAACTTATCCCATCAGAAAAAAAGGATAAACTAAAAGATTACCGGTGAAAAACGGTAAAGCCTGGCATCTTTAAGAATATAGATCCAGTCGAATAGACCGCAACCCATTTAATACGAGGAAGTTGAAAATCGCAATGAAAATTCCAACTCCTGATCTAATAGGCGCCATTATTTTCCACAGCAGTTGCCTGCCGTGTGATTGCGTACCCTGAGTACCCACCGTAACCTGGCACCTAGTTTTCCTTGTCGATGGTGGCTGTAGCTTCTATTACACGTTACCTGCTAGAATTACATATGATACATTCACTAGCAGTAAGCTGCAAACCAAAGACTGCCCTCCAATTGTTTTCACTTATTTGAAGTCAGGTCAAAATCTAGATTTTTTTTTGGAAAATTGTCTGCCGGGTAGCCTGACCTATCTGATCATACATAACTGTCGCTTCCACTTGATGCTTTAACATCTGGCATCAAAACTTGTTTAGGTGGTCTAGTCAGATATTTACGAACATCAACAACATTTTGCACAACGACTTTGCTGATGACGGCGATCCCCAAGCGGACCCATGGGAAGTAAATTTACATTGGAGAAGACACTCAGCGGAATGGCGTGGCCATGACGGTAGCGGTGTTCTTCAGTGCTACGTCTCCGTTGTGAACAGGATCAGCGATCGGATCATGGCTGTGAGGATAGACACGAAGGAGGCGGTACTGGAGCAATACTCTCCGTGTACGCACCGCAGGCCGGTTGCCTGTACGTGGGGAAAAATGGATTTCATCTATGCTTCGACTACGTATGCTATCAGCCCCAATGTGATGGCCTCACTGTAGTAGGCGATCTAGATGGCCTCATCAGCATCGACAGAGCAGGCCTACATAGAAAGGTTCACTGAGGGAGAGGAATAAATTTGAGGATAGCCAAGGCGATGAGGTTCTTGACGTAGCTACGGTTCAGGAGGTCGAGTTCTGTAGCACGTTTAGGGCAAACCCAGGAACTTCGAGGTAATGGACTGACTACTGATCGCAGGTCTCACCTGGGGGATATTGGAAGGTTTGCTAAGAAACAAAAAGAACGGAGAGAAGGGGTACCCGACAGGAGGCCCGTCGCGCGGCAACAAGGCAGAGTCAGCGGACGAGCCGCACGCGTACTGTAGTGATTTCGCGTCAAGTTAAATAGAATGTACCATTGTACGTCCTACATCGCACATCACGCGTGCGACTCGTCCGCTGACTCTGCCTTTCTGCCGTGCGACTCTCCTGTCGGGTACCTCGGAGAGGAGGATTGGACCGTGGAATCTGCACCGAGTGGAGAAGGGAGACCTCGAATGGAGGGTGAAAAATTAGCCCAACAAACTTGGAGCAGAGCCGCTGAGGTCACCTTGGATGTGCAAAGGAAGCACTAGGCGAAAGGTGGCAAGGCAAGGTGTCTCTGGAATGAGTAAAGCCATTGAAGCAGAAGAAGGACAACGGTCGGTATCCTTGTTCCCTAAAGACGTTGCAAGAGGCTCGCCCAGGCAGCTGAAGGGAAGTAAAGAACACGGGGATGGGCGCAAAAAGCGAATAGCCGCAGAGCAGAATGATAAGCAAGTGCATTTTACCGGGTGGCTGAAGCTGGGCATGACGCTGAGAACATCAGGGTGTGAAGGCTATAAAGAGCAGAATGGGGCCATTTTGAGGAAAGCAGAAGTCAAGCAGAGCTTCTTAAAAGGAATTCTCCTGTAAGGACGGCTCGCAAACAGGGATGGATGATGGTCTCCCATCAAACTTCGAGGAAAGGAAGTTCATAGGGAACAAGGGAAGGTGAGGGTTGGGAAGGCAGTTAGTGGGTTAGCAATCAGGGCTTGGAAGTTAAGATACCAGATGCGAGGAGAGGCGGCATTGTGGTTCCTTTTGTCGAGCAGTAGGGACGTGATGGAGTACCAAACCACAGAGTGGAGCTCAACTGCGCTGACAAATAATTGTGGCCCACTTCACCCAGAAATGTAGAGACGGCTATCAACTTAGGCAATGTGTGACCATAGCCTATCGAACAAGTGTGTAGGGTCGTTTCGAAGGAAACTGAACAATTTTCTTCCAACCCATAACCGCAGAAATCGACCCTTGCGCTCTGAATCCACGTAGTTATTGCTATCGTACTATCTTTTCAGCCGCTCTCTATCCTTCTTTCTGCTCATTCGCCCTTGGCTTTGGGAACGAGTCCAGCGTTCCCAAAGCGTTGAACTACCTGCAGTAGGAGAACAGTCTATCGCACGTTACGGACTGACTATGAGCGTACATCACGCTGAACAGAACGATATATCACTAGTCTGGGAGCTCGAGTCTGTTCTGGGTTCTTGAGTTCTGGGAGCTTTCTAAGAGCTCTTCCAAATGTATTCCCGATTGCGCGTTCTGTAGCTCCATGTTTTTCATATTATAATAGGCACGAGGAAATCTGATAGGAGATACAAGGAACAGATACAACAGATAAATAATCCATGAAACAACGATTTCGATTTATTCTAGTCATCAATGCACAGATATTTATTACAGACAATAAAGAAATTCAGGGGAGCCGACTGAAGCTGAAGCCGTAAATTGAACCTTCTCCTCGTGTTCAGTTTTCGTGCCTTGTGGAGGATTGAGAAGGCATGCACCTGTACACGACTTCATCCGTTCCGTTCGTAGGCCAGTCCTGACATTAATTAAACTGCTTAGTGATTACACCAGTTGTCAGTTTACTACAGCTCCACATTCACTCGCTGTTCGCTATATAAGATGCCTTTTACAATGATCTGCTTTTTAAAAAAGAGGCTGATGTGAGTTTTCATAATTCGTCAAGCTTTCATTCTAGCAACTATTGTGAGTGCCCATAGAATTCTGTGAACATTTTCTATTCTGTTTCCGGAGCAGCTGTTCCCATTGCCTCAAAGATCCCATTGCCACTAAGAAAGGAGGCAGTTTCCGCTGTTACTAAGTTGGCTTACAGTTCTGAGCCACTTTGACTACTTTCGGATTTATTATTTTTCCCATTTTCCGCATAGTTATTCAATACTGTGCGCCACATTATTAGCAACATGTGGCTAATTTGAATAGATGTTCAATTCCCTTTTGTAGAAGCCGACTGGATTTGTGGAGGGGAAATTTAATAGTGGTTTGATATCATGGTGTTCGGAGTAAGATCTAGTCTCCAGAAGCTGGTCTAGAGAGAACAGCGGGAAAACATGCTGTGAGAAAAGCTCAGGGCCATGGTCAAACGTCCATTTGTAAAAACCCGAGGGGGGGTTGTATCTGGAGGAAGGGAAGGGTGGAGGGTATATATGGGCAGGACAACGTCGCAATGCGTTAAGGACTTGTGGCACTCTAGCGCATAGTAATGGGCGGCGACGGGAAGGTATCTGATGTAACCAAGACTCGAAAGAGGGGGGGAGGATGTCACAAAAACACAAACACGCGAGGTTGATTTTGGTCGTGGTATAAGAAGCTATGGAAAACTGTCGTATCCGAAGAGAGAGCAGATGAAAAGTGTCCTGAGTTTCATTTAACGAATTGTCTGACCCGGACTGCCATTAAAAAATTAGTCCTGCGCGCGCAATGCCACTGTACCTGCAAGTTGCGACCGACAGAAAACAGTTAATCCGCTTGGGGCAACGCTAGGCGTGGGTGTTCTATGGTTCAGGTTCGTTTGGATGTACTTGCCTGGATGCGCAATGACTCACCAAGTTGGAGGATAGGGTCTCCAGAACATCTGAATCGTCTGGAGCTCAGACTACTGCAGACCGTAGACACTGCATCCGTAGTCTTAATCAGGTAACCACGTCGTACTCAAGATAAGGGATAATGGAAAAGTAAGGGGAGATGATATTTTTATGACGTATTTGGAACTGAATTGACCTCGAAGTTTGTGGAGCTTCAACTCCATACTTCCAAGTTTTCGTGAATCTACGGAGTAGCTCGTTACGTTCACTCCCACCACCGAACTACCGCTCGCAAGATTGATCCGGTACCTGCTCAGATCCCTGATCACAGCTCGTTATTATGCCGCAGATGCCGGTCCAAGGTGGGTGGTATACAGGGGGGGGCCAAAAAAAAGACATTTTGCCTATGTCGGACTTCGGCTCTTTTTTCTTCGCAGAGATTGCTGTCGTTGACGGGAGTTCCTCAGCAGAGTATTCCCTAAGTGTTCCTCTATTAGTGTACGCAGGCTCTCCTTCACTGCCCTCACCGTCTTCAGAATATGACGTCATCTGTCACCGTCGTCAGGCTCAAGGAGGTCTACCGTAAGAGCTTCAGCCTGAAGCTCTTACGCAATTTCGTGAATCGATTTAATGTTGGATAGTTTTCTAGAGGCATTAGCTACCACTGTGCAAATCCCCTCGGAACTAGCTTTCCAGTAAGGGTCGTTATGGTACACGATCCTTCGAAGACCCCATTGAGATCGACCAGTGCACCATGTTTCCAGGGCTAATTCTTCTGATGCCGTCCACCTACGTGGCCACTATGAAGATTTTCTTATAGAATGGAATGCACTCTTTAATTATAAGTTGGAACCGTTCGGTCTGAGTTGAGTAAAATGTGCTTAAATCCATCTGGAAGTGGAGGCAAAATGTCTTTTTTTTTTG